ATTTATGTATCATCAAATAACCAAGTCTTTTCTGCTCCTTATAATAATGATTTATGGTAATGTGAGTTATATGATATATGGTTGCGCTACTTATTATCATCGACAAATCGATTTAACTGATATCATAGTATTATTAATATTACAGTAAAAAATTAAAATTACAATACTAATATAACATAAACAATAATAGATTGGTTCCCTGCAAATTATTTCAATTTCTTCTTTCTGATTTCTGTATCGTAAATCTTGGCGTGCACCGTATATAAATATCTTTACTTTAGTTACTTTATTGTTTAATACTTTTTAATCGTTTAATGTAAAATTGATGTGATAATTAAACGCGATAAATAAATGATTATTAAAAGAGGGACATATTAATGTGTTCTCACTTATTAGCTGAAAAATGGATAATCCATTCAAAAATACTTCCAACGGAAAAATGAATATTGAAAATGAACAATCCACTCAAAAATATTCATAGCGAAAAACGAGTATTAAAAACACACAATTCATTTAAAAATACTCATAATCATACTCGTGTATACGTTGCTCGTTCACCTGCGGAAAAGCGAATATTGAAAACGGGCAATTTCCTCAAAAATACTCATACGCATACTCGTTTATACTCGTTATCGTTCCTCGCGATACACCGCGAGTGCTTGTGAGTGCAAGAAAATAGCAGGAACGGACTAAAAACGGGCTAAAAACGGTCCATACGAGGTCTAAAAACGATGAAAAATTTTTATAAAGGTTGTTAATAAAATAATATATAGGAGCATTCGAGCAGTACTTCTGAACGTGGCCTTGTCTGATTTCGCGGTCGTTACACCTAAAGAATTTTTAGTATAACTAAATAAATAATCCTCCCCTAAAGCTATTTAAGCGTAACCCTCCCATTAATTATTTAAGTATGCATATTTTACATAAATGCCTTCTTCAGTGAATATATCAGACGCTATTTAGATATTCAGACGCTACAAGAAAGGAAATGAGCAGTGCGCGAAAGTGAATGTTATAGCCGATATACACGTGTTATGTAAAAAGAGATTAAAGTTGTTATTCGACACGCACGTGCAAAATCGATCAATCAAAACAAAGGTATTTCTTAATATCATCGAGAAATGCGAATCAATAACGCGTTGCTCATGCCTGTTATACATTCGCGAATTTACGATGGCGAATAATCGAAATCCACATCCGAAGTCTCCATCATCTATCTCGTCAGAATCATTTCCGCTTATTTCGTGCTTCTCGAACGAGACATCATGACGGACGTGAAATCGATGAGTAAATAAATGAAAGTGCTTGACGAGCTCAGTAATAAAATATGGCATTTGCGAAAAGTAAAGTGAATGCTGTAAGAATGAATCATTATCGATTATTAAAATCAATAAATCGATGCATTATTTTGTATCACGTGTTTATGTAATCGTATAACTACACGTAACAATTTTCTTTTATGTCTTTTATGTCTTGCTCGTTTTGACATTTTATTTCACGAATTATAATTACAATAATTGTTACTTCGATTTTAGGTACATGGAATTCTCGCACTTTTAATTTAATGGTCGATCGTATTTCAAATGCATGTATTTAAGACTTCCGCAATTTCGCGTGAGAGAAAGAGAAAGAGAGAGAGAGAGAGAGAGAGAGAGAGAGAGAGAGAGAGAGAGAGCAGGGGAGGGGGACATCGAAGAATGATGAATTAGTAATAGTAGGCGAACTGGTACGCAAGGTAAATTCATTGGTCGATCGTTCTTTTGTAATGCATGAGATTTCCACGATCCGCGAATAATGGAATGGGAAATAAAGTGCGAACAAAATTCCGTCATTCTCGAATCACTCGTCGTCATTCCAGTGAAAAGAAGTGTGCACACGCACATAGTGCTCAATTGTCGACTTTACGTCTGAAAAGTACTTTCAATTTAAATCCTTCCGTATAAAACGAGAGGCAATAATTTAAATTTAAAATTAGCACGACTTTTTTAGACTTTTTTAAACATTAGACTAACTTGCAACAAACGCAGTACTCGAAGCAAATATATCATGTGTATAAATAAAAATAGATTTAAAAATATATTCATAGAATACATAGAAATAATGTTCATAGCATGTAGGTATGTATAATATATTAAAATAGAAAATTATATATTATTTATATTAATAAAATATAATTGTATTGTTATATATATATAATATCATAAAGGGCAATGTAAATTATCATTAATATATTGGTGCACGTTAATAATTCATAACTCGAACAATTACGCTTTAATCAGACGTTATGCATCAAGACAAACAGAAAATTAATTAACGGTCAAATTCGATTATATCGCAAAATACATTGAATAAATCTAATTACTATGAACAAGAAGATACGATAGTCTACTTGCATCGTAAAATTGACCGGGATTATAATCAAATGCATCATAAAACCTACCATACGTCGATATCGATGTCGTAGATTAAAGCATAAAATTATTATGTACCTATATTCTCGCGGAGCCATTATCATAAACACGGTCTCAGAAATTAAAAGCACAAAAGGAATTGACATTTTACAGTTCATTAAATCAACTATGGGTTGATAAATGAGTTTGGCGATAGCTAAATAATAGATATATATTCATATATATTATCATATATTAAAAAATTATTAAAATTCAACCTAAAAAAAATCTTTGTTATGAGATAGTTTAAATTATATATTATTTCTTTGTTAATATTCATGTTTTAATATTTAATAAATGCGTGCATTTTATAAATTTGAATTTCACTAGGATGAAACGGAAAGATAGTGTAGGCAGCATGAAAACGGATGTAACACGCGTTCCACGCATAATGCATGCGTTCCAGTAACAAGGAGCATTCGCAATTAGAGGTGAATAATTAAAGGGTCGTTAGTCTCGCCAAGTATAACTCAAATCGTGGGGAGCGGAAATGAAGTCCAGAATTTTCAAGGCTAGTCGAGGTAGCTGACTTACGGAAGCGATCGATTGTTTTCTTTTGCGTTCCACATCAAAGTATATAAATAATTGTGCGAAAAACATGGTATATTATGCATAATTATATATCAATAGAAATGTAAAAGCAATCGCGATCAACAAAGGTTAAAGATCTCCATAAATCGAATACAGTCATTAATTAACATGTTATGTAAGATTTAATGATTAATTACAGAGAAAATTTCCCAACGCTTTTAGAGACAGTTTTTCCTATTGAATAAAAATAAAAATTTATTTAAATCTTCAAATTTTTTTGTTTACGACAGTAAACAAAAAATACGTAATTTTTTAAAAATAATTTCAAATCTTAGAATGTGAAGTATATAAGCGACTATAATTATTTTTTTATGCTAATTTTCGTGTTAATAATAATCGAGTACGAAGCTCTACTCTGCGTTAAAAAACATAATTAATAATTAGGAAACGCAGCTATTCTTTGATGTTGCATCATATGCATCACATGCAAGAATAACTCAAATATTTGTGAATAAAATATTTTGTAAAATATACATATCAAAAGCAAAAAGCTCGTTGCCGAGAGAATAATGCAAAAATACTATTTGCCACTGTTCATTACGATGAAAAATGTCGCGTGATATAAAGTGTGTAACTCACAAACACGTTTTATAATATGTAACATAATAATTAATTACTGGAGATATATACCGGTGTATGGCATTGCAAATTTATGTCATCGTTGTACATAGAATCACCTTTATTGTAATTCTCTACAGATTGAAATTGAGCTGGATACTTTTCTATCAGCGGAATCGAAGTGACATGCGAGAAATGGATCAAGCAAACGAAGAAACGGCCTGTCACACCGATATAATGGACAACTTTAATTACAACAGGCATGTATGTATATATCCATATGTAGATCACGTATCATTCTCAATGTATAAATAGTTTTCTTCACAAATTAGCATAACGATCATTCTCTCGCCGACATGCATTTTTCATATGTTCACTTATTACAGGTAACGAATACACAAACCCTTTTGTTCTATTTATAGAGTTCGATTCGTCACATTACTCAAAGATATAATTTGATTAAAAAATGGTAATACTTTCCGTTCTGTTAGCAATTTTTATAATGAGAACAAATCTGATAATACCTGATCACAGGTATTATTCTTTTAAAGATCCATAAAATAAAAGTGGAAAAACGATAATATTTTCAGCAACAAATCAGACAAATGTTTTGCACGAATGTTCAGTAACTAATCATAGAAAAAAAAGATATGTTAAAACAACTAAAAACTTCACTGATTTGCAATCTACAGCTGTAACGAACAGTTAGTTTTTTGTGTTAAAATAGCAAAGTTATATAGCTGAATAAAATTAGTGATTATACATATCAAAATATATATCAATATATAGATCAAAATTTTACAAAACATATTAGTTAAAATAACACATACTTTTACTAATGTAATAAAAAAAATTTGTAATATTAACAATTTTCATTGTAGAAGAATTAGTTGAATTAGCATACTGACAGACTGTTGACAGTTACAATTTCTTTGTTGAACCATTAACCGTTAAATCCTCATGCTGAAGCGCAGTAAACTCTAGCTTTGCTAAGCCATCTAATCAATTTTTTTCCGTGATACAGTTATAATACAGGTACAACATGTATTATTTGTTTAAATCTATAAGAAACTTTTTGCGAAAAATATCTAATAAATCAAATATCTAAATTTATCTGTCTGCAACAAAATGCTTGACTTGAGATAAACAGCTTGTTAATATTTCTTATCTCTAGCCTCAATTTTGCTATCTACAAGTGACGTCAATTTAGATGAGTTTTATTATCATAGATAACATGCACAAGAAAGTATTAGCAAGTCTTAACATAGATTTAATCAGTGTGATACGCTACAAGGACGACCGTACCTAACTTATCCTAAGTTATCCACGGCCGCAGAGAGAGAGAGAGAGAGAGAGAGAGAGAGAGAGAGAGAGAGAGAACAATAGACTTAAGATACGTACCTTAGGAACCGGCCAGACTATCCGAAACGCTTCTTATGAGGCAAATATCTGCTCAGGAAATGGTTCTCTTCGTATCTTCGATAATTATACCTTATTAAGCGGCAGATGCTAAGTTAGATTATCGGCGAAAACTTCGACCTCCCACGTACGCAGAGAATATGCGCAGGAAAGCGAGAGATCTCCAAGATTTCCAGATCAGCAACCGTCTAGATCTGCAACAGAAATGAAAGTTCCGATTAGATACGGACAAATCGTTTGAAAGTTTAGAGTTTAGAGTATGAGAAACTTCGATCGCCGAATATCGTTGTGCAAGTGGCGAGTTTGTAGCGTACAAACGTCACATCGCGAGTCTCCCGAGAGACAGGTAGGTATGAGATATGGCTTGTATTAGATATAAAATATTGTTAATATAATACGGACAATTTTAAATAACATTAAAGCAGCTTCAAACAATCTAATCTAATATCAAAGAGGTTGTGTAATGATAAAATAAATTAGAGAAATCTCTCACACGCGAGAAATGGTAACAATCCGAGCTCATTCCGGATTATCTTACCGCCATTGACAATCTCTATCGCGAAAGTTTACAACGTGATTCGCCCTAGTTTCACGTATTCGAATATTAATATGGACAAACGAGCACCCGGGTTCGCGCGGAGCGTGAATTCGCTCTCCGTTCTAATTCCGAGCTTAATCCAATCTGCATGCAATTGTCAACGAGAGTATGCCACTGTGGAAGCACTTGATTTTAATTAAATCCAATGCAGATTAAATCTACGCCGTAAACGTGCCGCGGTAGGGACAGATTAGAAACTCCCGCACCTTATTCCCGCAGATTAATAACGATCGACTGATATGCATTCGCTCTTGTCAAACGCTGTTTCCTCTATCATACTCTGTAAGATCGATTATCCGATCGATAAATGATTGGATTAATTCTAGTGCAATATTCATTTCACCCGATTGTGCTGCTGTTTATGTAGTTTCAAAAAACAGTCACTGACACGTCGAAAATTTAATATATGGATGCCATGTATAATATTATTTGAGAGCTTCCGTAATTATTTAATTTATATAATTTAATATTTCATAATACGTTTCATTGTATCCAGTGAAATTCAGAAATATCAAAACACATCGATACACGTTTATATTTTGATCTGCTTAAACAAAATAATAAGTGTTATTTCATTAAATTAAATCTCGCAATTGCGAGATTGAAAATAAGCATCAATTAAATAAAGTTTCACATTTTAATGATAATTCCATTTTTATTCGACAGGGGTGTATAATCAATGTTTTTATTAAAACAACGACGGATTTTTAAATAGATGGAGGAAAATAAATTTTCTTGTTTTTCTTTATTAAATATATAATATGTATATAACATAATACAATTTAAAAACTGGATGTTAAAAAAATTACTAAATTATTATATCGGATTAAACGAATTTCTTTCAGGAAAGCTATTTTGGTTGCGAACTAAAAATAGCATAACGTTTAAAAACTGAAACATCGCACACAAATAGCACTACCATGTACCTACGAAAAACCATATCTCATTTGACTCCAACATCGCGGCACAATTTCTTGTTAATTACCGCCGTATCACGTTTTTGCAATTACGTCGCTACGCCACTCGCTGCGTGTTTAAGAATTCCATCTAATTTGAGCAATGCGCGAGACCTGCGATTCGTGCAGTACTGTATAAGTTGTGACACGTTTTTACTCGAACGTGAAAAGATCCATTAGTTAAAGATCCACGACGGCCAAAACGAATCAAGTTACAAGCTCTTCCATGCGCGGTGTTCCACTCTGAACAGTAATGGAACTTTGAACAATTGAAACGTCTTAAGAAGCGACTTGACGCTGACGTTCTCCAAATAAGGAACGTCGCGTCGATCGATACTTGTCTCTTGGTAAGATCGTGACCACGTTTGGGTGACATAGCGGACTATATTAAATAGTCAAGCTGCACGGATTTGTTTGGACGATTAATTATCGGGTCACAAATTGCGAGGCAGCTTGCTAATTTGCCATTGCCTGATAAACCGCTTAAGCGTACTAAAAATATAAAATGCAGGGGAAAAATGTAGGAGAAAATTGTCGCGAGTATAGGGAACATTAAAAAAAAAAACAAACAACTTTAGAAAAGTATTGATCGTACATTAATAATAAATTATTATTCATTTATTTTTCACTCGCACATTTTCTTTCGCGTGGTTGAAAGAGATGAACTCGGTATCGGAAGAACTATAATCGAGGGAATAAAGTCGGATGTCCTCATTTTCTTTTGAAAAACAACCATTGCCTAAGATGCCGGGTATCCTAATCGTTCCTCCTGCCGGAACCAGTTTCTAATGGTTGAAACTATAAGGAGTTAATAGTATTAGCGCGGCAGACGAGCGAGCTCCGAGAAACAATTAAGCTAAAAGGCACGTTGATTCTTTCAGCGAGACGAGTAGATTACCCGATTAGTCTGACAGCGACGTTATACGTGATATTCATATACGTAGTCCAATTAAAATTTTCATAGACAGCGAGTAGCTTCGCTACCGAACCAAGCCGGTGCAACAATATATGCGCGAGACTCATTCATTTTCACAATCTACATTTGTATCACATGAAATTGTTTTTTTCCCTTTTTGTCGAGTATTATTAGATGTACTAATAAATGACTCGTTGAGTGACTCTACTTTTTTCGTTAAACAGAAACATATTCGTCGTGCATATACACGCATCTTTCAAGTATATATAATTTAAAATGTAGAAAAAGTTATTAATTTTATTAGAAAATTATATATATTTTTTAAATTATCAATGTGGAAAGAGAAAATTTTAATAACCACTAAAATTCCAGTCAAAACCTCTTGTGATTTGTAACGAAAAATGATAATTGAAAAACAGTATTTTTGCCACACGTCGTAATTTTTTGAAGAGTGCGTGATTTATTTTTTATAGCCACGGAAATAAGTATAAACTTTATTTTTGCTATCATATTTTTATCTTTTTTCGTTCTAATACAAAATCGATGATCCTCGTGAGATATTCACACGCACGGAACTTGAAGTTGAAATCGGTGCAAGAGAGAAACTTAAGCGTTTTAAAGCGTTTTACGCTATATTCTCACAGTGAGCGTAACGGTGCATCCGCAAAAATAGCAGAAGCGAATCTCCGAATAGCGATAACGACTACCGGATGAGGAAGTTCCTGCTCGGACGTTAATGACCAGCGGAATATCTTTTTCGCAGCAACTATCGCCCACACGGCATGACTCCCTGATGATTTACAACGCTTGGAATTAAGTAAGCTCGTCAACACGTAACGCCATGTCCAATTACAAAGTTCGAGCACTGTTTAGAAAACTTTAAAAATTCACGATCGTTACAAAATAAAGCAAAATAAAAAAAAAATGATTAATTTACAAACTTCGTTTATGAAGAAAAAAAAAATAACCGCTCAGTTCCAGTTAAGCATTGTTACGTTTATATTTTTATATCGCACGTTATTTAAATTTGCCGGGAAAATTTGACATGTCACGTGACGTGAAACCAAATGAGCGTTACTATTAAAGTATGGAAGCAATAATTTTCATTGAAGAAATAGATATGCTAAAAATGAATATTCTTAATCGATAACAATTTCACTCAGCGATATCGCAATAATCTTCTCGTATCAATCAATTGTGCCCAGAAAGGAAGGATTTAGCGCGGCTTATTCGGTTAATATACGATTGGATCTAAAGTTCCGACTCCTGCATGTTGTGATGCATGATTAATTTAATTTATCCGTCCGCTCCAACCGGTGCGTAAT